ACCGTCAACTGCTGCATGGTATTACCATCACGAGTACGTGAGCCGCCAGCGGCGACTGGTAGATGGCACCGCCATCGCGAGTGCGTGAGTCCCTGTCAGAAATTTGTTGCGCCGCTCTTGGGCGCAAAAAATGGTGAAAGCTCATGTACAAAACCAGAGGGCAGCACACGATGCGATCGCGCGACCCTGCCCGTGAGCAATCTCCCAACTCATCTCTGGATCATAGGACAACCGAGGAGATGGCACCGAGTTTCGTGCCTTAGATCTACGAGTGATTTTCAAGAATCAGGAATAGGCGATTAGAGGGTTTGCTAGACATGCTTGTCTAATTAAACGTACTCATTGTTATTGTTCAATAAGTTGCTTTATTACATTAATTATTTTACAGTTTATTATACATCAGGTACCGTAGGTACATAAGTTCTCGAGCTTATTTTTTACGATACGTTTATGTTACCACCACCAGGCTGCAGCATGTACACGAGGAAGCCATTCATGACCGCCAGTGTACTCTGAAAGTGGAACAATGACGGAGAGCTGGCTATTGCTTATCTTCGTCGCGCCAATGCTTACTGAATCATGTGCGACAAGGATGCAGGGACAGCCAAATCTCTCTTTCCCTGGGACGAGCTTCGCTGTCGATTCTTAAGCGTGGCGAGCGTTCCAGTTTACTATATATTTCAGCGCTCCCAACTCATCTCTGTGTGTAGTCTTTCGGATTTACTGAATTTGGACTGAATGAATCCCGGATTTATGGTACGATGGAGATGTAGTCGATAGATTTCAGTGGCATTACCAAGCTTCTTTGATCGTAGGAAAATGATGTTGCACGAAAATATTAATATGAAAGGATATACATTAATTTTACCATCAGTGTCTACGGGTAATGTCGGGCAATTGACTGTGGACTTACTAATTTCCAGCCTTAATTTAAAAAAAACGGGTCAATGTATTGTTAAATCATTTATCCCCATTGTTGGACCAGACCCGTATGACGAGAAATCGCCTGAATTATGTACTGCGATTGATTTATTTATTGAACCCAAGAAAAAAATTGCTGTCCTTCAAATTCGTTCACCACGGGTTATATCATCTACAGAGATATTTGCAACGTTAAAGTCATTTATCAACAAAAATGAAATATCAAAAGTATGTAAAAATAATTATTACTCTTACATCGTGTAGATAGTATATAGAATAATTTGCATGCTTCATCAAAACATTATGAAAATTACTTAAATATATAAAACCTAAAGTAGTAATAATAACCTTTAGCGTTCCGTTGGCTCCGCTATGGAGACATTCGTCATAACGTTCTGAAACTTGCAGAACGCTAAGGGTTAATATAATACATGCGAGTATTAATACATGTTAATGAAGTTCATTTTAATAATTGCTATTAATTTTGTCTTTATTTCAGGTAATAATTTTGGCCAGTAGTTATAGTCATGAAATGAAAGATGTGCAGTTACAGGGCTCACATTTACGGTACCTTGCCTGTTCAAGTACTTTGAAAAAAAATAAATCTACATTTGATAATATGAACTGGATAGAATTAGAGCCGAAAGTTGATGAAAAAAATAATGCTACAATCACTAGGATACCTGGTGGCGGTTTTGCAAAAGTTTTATATGACAATTTGTGCAAAGCAAGTATTGAATCTACTATTTTGATTAAATTCTGTTCAGAAGGAGATAATATTTTAGATGCACTGGCACTATTGTCTTACCTAAACCAATGGGTATGTTTAATAGAACTTAAAAACAATGGTATTGAGAGAAGAGTTAAGTATCCGTTATCATGGAAAATGTTGTTTGGAAATCTTCCGCCATGTGAAATATATTAAATTTACCAAGAACACGACCATGTATTTCCCTGTTTCCACGTTAAAATTTCTGTAAATATGTCTAATACTACTAAATTAGTATGAAATAGATTTAATGCACACAATTTCCTTTATCTTTTGAAAATAAACATTTTTTTTACATAATACAAAAGTTGGGTATAAATACGTACACAAATGTTCATTGTGAAAATGTACATATTACATAGTTTCTTGCACATTGAACTATTTAAATAATTACAGTTGTAGAAATTGAAAAACATTCAGAATATCCTTAAGCTAAGAGTTTCGATTTTGCTGAAAATGCAGCATACGAAACAAGTGCAGCTAAAAATGCTGCCAAAAGTTCAGAATTAACCCAGGGTCCTACATAAACTCCTGGATTATTCAGTACAACAACGGCAAGAGGTTTTACACTGCTAGGATCATCTCCACTTCGGTAAGCCTTTCGAATAGCAGCATAGCTCTCCTCATCATACAGTTTAACATTGTAATCGCCAGAGCGAGCTCGACTGATGTCTTCTGTCCATGACACCTACGAAATAAGATGTAAATATTTAAATAATATGCACATGCAATTAATTTAAGAACCTACTTTTTCATTTATTAATGTACAGGTAGCTCTCACTGTACGAATTCTCTTTGATCAGAATTTTAAATTTCAATTATACATAGTGAAATTTACGAATTCCAGATTTATGAACATTTGCCAGAAACAATTAAATTACAAAGAAATTAACTATATTTCATATAAAATATACAATTTCCTTCATTAAACTAATTTTTACTGATACTTAAATTCTAATTATATTGGAACTTGTGAATATGCAAAACTTTAGAGGAATACCATAGATTTATATATAACTTCTATATTTCTGTACCACTTTCCATCTTTCTTGGTCATACATGTTTTAGAATAAATCTGATTAGTATAATAATGAATCACAAGGTAAGTTAGAAAGAAACACATAATCGCAGACCCAGATAGTAACAAAATATCCATAATTACACTTATAATAAACAAGACTAAAATTGTAATTTGCAAAAATTTGTTGTTTAAAGTACATATAGACTATTGAAGTATTCATAAATAATACTGAAAGCATGCAATGGAGGATTTATTCTGTTAAGACCTTGACAGACAATGACATCTGAGAGACATCATTCATTTCATGTGCCATTATAAAGTTTGATATCTCTGAGACGTCAAGAACAGTCTCTGGCCAAATTAAATAGTATCTTTCGGATGCATCAAATTCTGTTTCATCTGTATGTCAAGGGATTAACGAAAGGCACGTTTCAACCCTCTCAAAATCAATGATGTACAATGTATATTATACAGTATGTATCCAAACTAACCAATGATGCATATTATATGCCATGTGATATACTATGTAATATATAAATAAAAAAGTTTGGATTCTGGGGGAAATATTGTAATTAGAGATCAGTCTATGGGATTATTCGGAAAATATAAACATGTAATCACAATTTACCTGATATTTGTCGTCAGAACTTAATCTTACAGCAGGTAGAGCTTTGCCTTCAACTTCTGCATATAATGAAATTCCTTTTGCCCCATTGCTACACCTTAATGTAAACTGTGTTGTAAAAGCGATGTCTGTGAGAATAGTAGCATCTTCCGTAACGTAAGCTGAAGCCGAAACTTCAGGTGAATGGCAAATTTCGGATGAAACTACGGAAATTGTACTGAGAGTAGCCAACAAAATTGTGAGAATGAATTTCATGATTTTAGTTGTTTTTCAATAAATTATTATAATACTATGGTTACTAAAAGTATTCTGTGAAAGCTCCTGCAATCTACTGCACAACGACACAGCGATCATTAAATCTAATATTCCCCGCTACTGGCCACGTGTAACAATCAACGTTGCCAGAATCTCACTACCAGAGACTATTAGATAGAGTGGAAGGTTCACTGCCATTCATCGATGGTTACCTCGCGGACCTACTGCCCTCCCCGGCCGTGCGGCGTACTAGCGGCGGGAGTAGCGTGGAATTTGAATCGCCCAAGGGGCAGAAAGAATTTGCTAAAAATAACAATTAATGAAAATTATTTAAATATTATTGNTTCCATCCACTGAAACGAAGTTAGAATATTATTTTCGCTAAAAAAAAATAGTTTATTAATATTTGTCCAGTGAAATGCCGTAGGAAAATTGACAATACATCTGTTACGTCCCGATGTAGTCTAGTTAGAAATTTAGATTTTAAGTTAAAATCGCGTTCAGGGAACGCAAGCCTTGCACCGAAAGGAAGTAGGGTGCAGAGCTGGCATTCCAGAGGTGCGCACGTGCTCGCGGAGGTCGAAGTCCTCGTGCGTAAAACCCTGCGTCAGCACCAGGTTCAAAATCCTGGAGAAGCTGCTGAGCTCTAGGAATCTGAAGACGCAGCAAAAGGTGGATCCTACCTTGGAGGACCTCAAGCTACTACTCCTTGTCCAGGAGGCTGCGGAAAATCTGGAGCTCGGTCGGGAGCGCACTCCGTTTTGAATTTTCAAACCAGCAGCATCAGGAGTTTTGAGAAGAAGTGTTAAGAAGCCGACGAACAGTGGTAGGGAAGAACCCACGATGTAAGTAGCACTCAGCCTACCCGAAAAAGACATAGGAAGTAAGAGGCACAGGACCGACTCACTCTACCCAGACTCTCCTGTCACCAAGGTGAGCCTTGGAACATTTTTCAACTTATCCCTTCGATTTTATAACGGTCAATTGTGCTTTCCTTGAATAGTAGCTTCACGGGCCGATCTGTTTTTCGGAATTAAGTTGTGGAAATTTAGATTTTATATTGCTGTTACTGGTAATCGTCGTTAACACGTTGCGTGCCACATGTACCACCGATAATACGCGTTAACCTCGGGCGGTACACGGCGTGACATGGAACGTGTTAACCGGCGCTTGAAATTTGTGGACGATAGTCAAGACCTAGTATCTGCTATAATTAATTACTCGTGAAACCCGAAAGAAACTTTGAAAAATAATCGGGCGTAAATTTTATTGAATGTAATTTTACTTAATGAGAACGGCGCCTATTTAAATATTAATCTATACTATTCGTTGTTGAAATTGTGTAGTTTGATTGTGAATCTTTCCGAACGACGTTTGAATTGAGTGAACTACTCCGATGTCACCTAGTTTATCAGTGAATTTTATATCTCGGGTAAATTTCATTCTCTTAAGTGAGTACATTCTGTTCTCGGTCGATTGAGAAAAATTTTATTTATTGTCAATTGTATTAGATTCCAATTCCAGCCAATGTGATTCAGGTTGTTGGTTTATTAACCTTTTTTAATCGCTAGTCTTCTCAACATTTCGCTGCGTGAATGCAGCAGCATCATAAATTGCAATTTGTTTCTCAGTTCTCAACTAAAGTGAAGTTTGGTGAATCAGTGCATTGTTCAAATTGCCACTATATACTTGAATCCATTCGGTAGAGTTTACCTAATCATGTATTGCTCCAATTGTCTTACTGTGTCATTCGTTTAAAGCGTATATTTGCAATTATTGTGGTGTCATCTGTTTAATTTTTTATATTGACAATTGTTACCGTGTCACCTGTGGTTTTATTATTTTATTTGGAAATTTACTGTGTCACCTGTGGTTTGATTATCCCATTTGGAAATTTATTGTGTCACTCGTTGTCGGATTTTTCAACTTGCAAATATTATTGTGTCGGCCGTTTTGGAAATTTCCCCTTTTTTCGATTATTATTGAGTCACCCAGAATTAAAGAAAAGCCACCTCTGTTTCTTAAATTTTGATGCTTTAAGTTGAGTATTATTTTGTGATTAGATTTTATTCTATCCGAATTGTCGGTATTATTTTCGTCGCTGAATCTATTGGCCAGATAGTACCTTTTGAGAAACATACTAAATATAATTTTGATTAATTGAGGTTTTACGATTTTCAACTGTGGATTTTAGCAGAATTAGATTGTCTAGTCCGACTTAAACGAGTCTCGTATAATGTTGAATTTGTTATTCCGGATCTAATTTCAATTTTTGACACATTCGGTTGTGGAAAGTGATTAGGGATTCTGCAGTGTTATATTTTGTCCCTGCGAGTTATTGTAGAAATTTGATTGTGTAATTTGAATGTCGACTGAACCTGTATTTGATATCCATTCTTGAATGTTACATATTTCGTTGAATGTTACTACTGTGAGTGTTTGCCTCCTAATTTTAAGCGATCCCGAAATAGTTCCTCGTAGTACCTTATTGAGATTTAATTCGAATCGTCTATTTCTTGATTACGTGATTTTATAATTTGGAGTTTTGATTCCTGAAGAATTTTTATCAAGTCCTATTCTAATTAATTAATGATTATTTTATATTAAAGTCATACCCTTGAATTTTGGTCTTAACTTTTGCTCTTCATTTTTGCTCTTAAATTTTGGTCTTGAATTTTGGTACAACATCACATGTAGTGAGACGTGAAGGATCCCAGATACCGATTTTGTTAAGGTAGGTTCGTGATCTCGAAACTCTGGTACTTGCAATTTTCACTGTATAGCGCATCTTTGGAATTTTGATTCTCTTGTGCGCGCATTGTTCCCATTGAAAATGTTTACATATTGATCCCGTATATTTTGTGGAACACCCTGAATTGTATTCGAGAGGAAATTTAAAAATTGTTGACTAGTAATAAATGTTTATTAATTGTTAATACCCCTACACTTGTTTATTTCCGTCTTTGACCCTCTGTGCACCCCAGTCCCTGGCACTACGATTGAATTCGTGGCCAAAAGGGGGGCTTGATCCTCGCTACAGGTAAGTTGATCTATGTTCGGATCAAAATTTGTTACTACTTTGACGTAATACATCCATTTTCGGACATAGAAGCGGAATCATGATTTCATGCCTCATATATATTATGTTCTACACCTTTCTTCGTATTCCTGGAATAAATGGACACCTGTAAATAAACTTGTTAACTTTTAATAAAACATGTTTTAATATATTCTTTAAGAAATTCTGTAAATAATCATTTAACAAAAACTACGATAAGTGACTTAGGGACACTTCACAATAATATTGAAATAATTTTAATTTTATAAACATTTATTTTCTGTAGCAAATCCATTCTGCCCCTTGAGCGATTCAAATTCCACGTTACTCCCGCCGCTGGCATGCCGCGCGGCTGGAGAGGGCAGTAGGTCCGCGAGGTAACCATCGATGAATGCGTGTTCAATAAGGCTGCAATATATATTTGCTTATACGGTTTTCAGCGCCATCTCTTCAGTTCCAAGTAAAAACTAAATACCCCCGCTACTTCACAGAATCTTCACTCCAGGAAATTTGAATAGCTAAATGTAAACGCAAAAAAATGAAATACACATGAAGGATCAAGAAACCTGTACCGTTCCTCTGCCTTCGTTACTTCCGCTTCCGCTTCCCTTTGTTGAACGACATTTAATCCTTAGCACGTGCGACCCGTGATCACTGTGTCCCCCTGACCGTCTTGAATTCGATTCTCCCGCGTGTCAGAACGGAAACTGCACATGCACCCCCCGCCATTTTCGGGGGGCGAGTAGTGATTGCGATGGGGACTACGATTCGCTGAGGGAACGTTTCCTGGCCATACTGGCAAATGCTAATGTGGACGCGGAGATGTTCGCCTCGATACCGCGAAATTCGCGACGAGTCCGGATGTATGATATTGACGACGACCTAGCTATCAAACGGGTTCTGGAAGCGACGCTAATCCCGGCTGTACCGGTGGACGTCGAGTGCATCCGGCTGGACGAGGCTGACCAGGGTGAAGCGGTTACGACGGCCGTAGCCGAGCGGGGGGCGGCTTCCCTGCTTATCGCGAAGGATAGACCACAACCCTTGGATGCACCTCTGGGTGCGTCCTCTTTCCAGGGTATCCGCCAAAACGGCGCCGTGCTCGTTGCCGACAGTGACGTCAGCAGAGCAGTGGCGGGCGGTGAACCTGAAGCGGCCCACTTTTTCCAAGGGTTGATTGCCCGTTTTGTGGATAGTATGCTATCCAGGGCATGCGATAATACAAGCGACGAAAAAGGTGAGGAGGAACGTCTAGACGTTCGGATTGACTATGTAGGAGCGGGTAATCCTCCGATAGGGGTGGTGAATCGTCGGGTACCCACATCGATAGAGACGGAGATGTCCCGTTCCATCCCTCAGGAGAGGGAAGAGATTGTACGCGCGACAAGGGTTATATCGCCGACAGCGAATGGGTCGGGTTATGAGAAAGTATCACCCACGGCCGCAGCGCGGGAAGTCCCGTCGACGAGGAGGACCGGTATGCTTTCTGTCCGCGCCATAGTGATGGCGAATCAGATCAAAAGTGACCCGCAGCGTATCCGGGGGCTCCTGGGCAACGGGGGCTCGAATAGAAGGTGGGCGGTCGCCGTGGCGAGGGCCCTGTTAGCAGATGGGATCGGGGAGCGAACGTTGAAGCTGTGGGCGTCGAAAAAACCGCAGGCGCGCCAGGGGTCAGGAAGAGAGTATGCGGTAACAGTATTCAACTCGCTGCGTCTGTGGGCATCGTGTGAGACATGCATAGCAGAAGACAAGAATGCCAGCAGCGAGGAAGAGGCTGATCAGGTGCCGGATGGTGCGCTCGAGAAGATCGGGGGTGGCAAATATCGTGGGGATCACGTGACGGGTGCGGGCTGTTTTGGGAGTGTATTGGTGTCCAGTCATATGGCTGCCAACCTGCGGTCGGAGCGTGTATGTCCGTGGTGTGTCTTCTCCGAGGTTCGAGGGTGCGGCTTCGTGCCTGCTGAGGTAGTGAGTGCCCGCGGCGCTGAGGAGTATAGTGCGGATGCGGTGCGGCGGTACCAACGATTATCGGGGGGTGTGGTCGACGGCGGCTGGCTGCGTGCAGCGGCAGCGGCGCACAACAGAGAATAGCATG